TAGGCTCAGTGGAAGTCTAGCGTCTTTTCCATCTCAAAAGATTGAAATTATATGTCAATCCTTAACGACTACTTAATTCCCTTATAACTCTTGAGAAGTGAACTCAATTTGATACTCTTTGCTTACTTGAAAATTTAACTCTTAGGAAACACTTAGTTCCCTTATACCTTTTGAGAAATTAGCTCAACTCTTTAATCTTTATTGACTTGAATTTAAAGTCTTTAAACAAAGTGAAAAAGTTTGTGAAAGACATTAGAAAACATGATAACTTGAACTTTTCCTGCGCAAAAACCAAACTTTCAAAAGTCATATCTCCCTCATACGATCTCCGGAATTCGAAATATTGGTGTCGTTGGAAATATCTTCCGATGAGATTCCAAAGCATATAAAAAATTAACTGAAATTCCTCCAGAGTTGGAATTATGACCATTTGAAAATGACCAAAACTCACTTTGTAATCTGGAAATTTTCCAGATTTCATACTTATTTTCGAATTTGATTCTTCTTGTTTATCTTAGCTTAACCTTAGTTTATCTAGAATACGAGATGTAACATTAATATTTTTCTTCTCTTTCTTATCCCTCTACAACCATCCTTCTAATTTCATACCTACTGAAAGAGGGTCGATTAATTTTTACCGAACACCACTCTAGGAAGTCTTACAAACGTCTGTAAAACTCAACCTACTTTACACTCACGAAACTGACTAAGTATAGAAATACTTAGAAAATAATGTTAAACAACAAGCAGACTTTAGAGGAACCTGTCCCAATCTTTATTAATCTCTAATTGATACAAAGGAAGATTTCACGAAATAGTGTAAGGCTAAAAACACTCTGTCTCAGCCTTAGACGAATTTCCAACCTTAAATAAAAATTCTACACAATGGCAGTTACCTGCGGCGGTTACAAATGACACTTGTCAGACACCTGTCATCACAGGGTTCAAAACTAACTTTCCAACAGCTATATTTCTAACAGATAGAATCTAATTCAAATTACATTCTTATCTAAACGAAATACTAATATTCTAAAACTTAGAATATTTTAGGCTTCATTCAAACACTTAGAATATTTCTTCCTGCTTCAAACAGTTAGAATATTTTAGTTGTCTTCCAACACTTAGTTTTATTTCAGTAATTCGAGTGAACTGTCTTTGTTCCTAAAATAGTCAAGTCTTCACAAGCTTGCCTTATCATGCTATCTTGCCAATTCCCTTACCCCACATGTAAGCCATTGACGTTCAAGCTGCCTTGCCAACACCCAAGCACCTTGAACTTGTGTTGTACTTTTTTGCCATCATCCATGTGAAGACCAATGCCCAGGTCCTTGACATGTCTGCACGTAGTTAGATCAAGTACTTTGCGGGTCACAGAACACCCGCACCACTTCAACTCGATGTCCTCATCGAGACTGTATGAAGACATTCCTGGATCTGAGCATCAAACTGCCATAAGTCTTTTGCCTTCTCCCAAACTGCATCAGCTGCACTCTTGCCCTTCCAATGAACAAAGAATTATGTCTTTGTATTTTTCTTACTAGTTCCCAAAACCGGAGAGCAAGGATCTTCTCAATTTCAGCATCATATTGTGTAGGTATTGATGGAGGATCCCTCTTTGACTTGTTTCTCTCCGGATCATCTGCATCTGCAAAGTAAGGTTTCAAGAAACTCACATGTAAAGTGGGATGAATTTTCAACCTTTCTGGCAGCTTCAACCTATAAGCCACTTCGCCCACTCGTTTCACCATATCGAATGAACCATCATACTTAGGAATAAAACCTTGATGTCTGGTCTTACTTACAATCTGTTTCCAGATATGTGAGGTAAGATTCAGTAACACTTTATCACCCACATTGAACTCAACTGAGAGACGATGTTGATCAACATACTCCTTCATGCGCCGCTGAGCCTTGCGCAAGCTATCCTATGCGTCAGATAACATTTCAAGTCTGTCCCTTGCAACCCTGTATGCTGCTTCACACTTTCCCTGATCTTTAGATTTGGCAACATCTAGTAGCGTCATAGACTGTCTGCCTAAAACGATTTCAAAAGGGCTCATTTCTAATGCAGACGACTTGTGCAGAATATAGCAAAACTGCGCAGTGTCTAACAATGTTACCCAATTCCGTTGACTTGTTGTTACATAGTGCCTCAAGTATTCTTCCAACAAGTGATTAATTTTTTCCGTCTGCCCATCTGTTTATTGATGATTTGCAGTAGAAAATTTTAATTAAGTTCCCATCATATTGAACAATGCTTTCCAAAATCTACCATTGAACCATGTATCTCTATCACTCACAATATCAGCCGGAACACCAAAATACTAAACGACATGTTTGATGAACAAATTGGCAGCAACTTAAGATGAGCATAATTCAGGAGCAGCAATAAAAACAGAATATTTTAGAAAACCTGTCAACTACCACCATGATAGATGCTTTGCCATCTACTTTAGGGAATCTATAAATTAAATCCATGCTTACTGATAGCCATCGCCTTTCAGGAACAGGCAAAGGTTGCAGCAAACCTGCTTCCTTCTTACGTTCTGTTTTGTCAATTTGACAAACATGACAAGTTTTGACATATGCCTCTATATCGTCTTCAATCTTCTACCAAAAATAAACATGAAAAAGTAAGGCTAACATCATTTCAACACCAGGATTTCCATCCCAAGCAGAATCATGCGCTTGTTTCATTAAATCTTTGCGCAACCCGCCCTGATTTTGTACAAAGATTCTCTGCCCTTTAAAATAGAGAAGATCGATCCAATACCTTCTCATTTTCCATCTTGCACTTGACCCATCCATTTAAGATATAATGAATCATTTGCAGCACACAACCTGATTCTATCATAGAAATCAATTTCAAGCTTTGAAATCAAATATACTGCAACAAACACTTCTTTTTTACTCTGCGCATCAGTAACCTGGTTGTGTTTTCCTGGTTTATATTCCAACATGAAATCATATTCTGCCACGAATTCTTGCCACCGTGCTTGTTTAGGACTCAACTTTTTCTGTGTCTTGAAAAATGTATTTGCTACATTATCAGTTCTTACTACAAATCGAGTACCCAAGAGATAAACTCTCCAAACCTGCAAACAATGTACCACTGCAACCATTTATTTATGTGTTGAGTATCTCTGTTCAACATCATTCAATTTTCTACTTTTAAAGGCCATTGGATGACCTTCCTGCACTAATACCCCACCAATTGCCTTGTCTGACGCATCAGTATGCACTTCAAATGGTAACTCAAAATCGAGCAATTTGAGTATAGGTTCTGATGCAATAGCAATCTTCAAATTTGGAAATGCTTCATCACACCGTTCAGACCAAACCCACTTTGTATCTTTCTTCAACAAATCTGTCAAAGCCGCTGCCCTTTTTGAGAAACCAGCAATGAATTTTCTGTAATAGTTAGCCAAGCCAAGAAACGACCTCAAATCCTTCACATGATGAGGTGCCTGCCAATAATCAATACCTTGCACTTTTTTAGGATCCATTCGATCTTTGTTTTTACTAAAAAGATGCCCCACGAATTTTATCTTTTGTTGAGAAAACTCACACTTTTCCATCTTGACATAATGTGTGTATTTTCTCAACTAAGACAGAACCAAACTTAGGTGACTAACATGTTCCTCCAATGTTCGACTATAAATGAAAATATCAACTATATAAAAAACAATAAAGTCATCAAGATAGTCAAATAGTACATTATTCATTAAGTTGTAAAATGTTACTGGAACATTAGTCAGCCCAAATGTCATTACAAGGAGTTCTTATTAACCATATCTACTTACACATGTTGTTTTTGGTTCATCACCCTCTTGTATGCTAACCTGCAAATAACCTTCTCTGAGATCAAGTTTTGTGAACCAGCATGCCTTACTCAATCGATCCATCAAATCCTTCACCAACGGAACCGGATACTTGTTCTTTATAGTTGCCTTGTTCAGCGCCCTGTAGTCTACACACCATCGCATCGTCTCGTCCTGTTCTTTTAAAAAATAAAACAGGAGCACCGTATGGGGCTTTAGATGGCTGAACCAATCAAGCATCCAACAACTCATTCAATTGTTTACGTAACCCAACCAATTCTTTAGGAGCCATACTATAAAGAGCCTGTGCAGGAGCAACCGTACCAGGCAACAACTCGATCTTATGATCAATATCCCTCCTTGGTGGTATTTTCTTTTGTAATTCAGGCGGCATAACATCAGCATACTATTTCAGAAATTTAGCAACACAATTAGGCACTTCCATTTTTACATTAGGTCTCACTTCGACCAAGGCAGCAAGTATAGTGTCATCACCCTTCTTCAGACCTTTGTCGATTGACATAGCAGACAACAACATTCCTTTGTCTTTCTTCTTTATAACTTTATTAATGTTCCCAAATGGATGAACTCCTTTGAGAAATCTTGCATTGCTTCCATTAATGACCATGACTCCAACTATGTGAGGAAACGGAACAAACTGGAACTTTCTTAGGAAATCAATCCCAAGTATGATTAAAAAGTCACCAAGCGGCATTACCATCAACTTATGTTTTCCCACCCAACTTGCAGTCGACATAGACACACCATAAGCCATGCCCATAATGGCTTGTTCCTTAGCATTGACTAATTTGAAGTAGGAAGGACATTTTGTAGAAATTTTCACATCTACAAACGTATGAGTGGCCCGTGTATCAACCATTGCCATCACACATTTTTCTTTCACTTTCATTTCTATATGAATTAAGGACGTTTCAGGATTCGAAGTGCTAGACATTTCCCCAAGTTTATTAATCCCTGTAATATGATTAAAGGACAATCCCAATAGGTTTGCCACTGCAGCCACGATTTCTTCATCCTCCTCCCTTTGGTTCATATTTCCAGCAAGCAAAGCATTCACTTTTACCCGGTTTGGACAAGATTTGGCCAAATGAGGACCACCACAAGTCCAAAATCCCTTAGAATTTCCATCTTTGTTCCTTGGCTTGTCTTTCCCATTCTTCATTTGTGTTTTTCCTTTGTCATTTGTATAGTCCTTACGACTGTCCTTTTTCCTTTCCCCTTTCTTCTCATTTTTTTTCTTAGTGTTTGAAGTGGAGGAACATCTGTCAAAGGACGAGTTGTCCGGAAATCAATGAACGAATCTGCAGCACCAATTGCACTGCGCAGATCCTTAACATTCTGCCTCTGTAGTTTCTTTTGAGCCCAGCCTTGCATACCCGAGATGAAGTTGTGTAATTTATCCTCATCGGATATATTTTTTATGCCTAACATCACAAACGTAAATTCTTTAATGTATTCCCTCACTGAACCCGAATGCCTTAGCCTTTTCAATTTATCCCTTGCAAGACAAGATGCGTTGCTAGGAAGAAATTTATCACGCATTTCTTTTATTAATTTATCCCAGGTAACAATTCTAGGACGACCAGCACTTACATCATCGGCATTTCGAGTCCTCCACCAAAGTTTAGCATCACCCGTCAAATACATTGTGGTAATATTTAACTTGTCAGCGTCAGGCACCCTTGCAACAGTAAAATACTGTTCCATGTCCCAAATGAAATTTTCCAGTTCTTTAGCACTTCTTGCGCCACTAAAGGCCTTAACTTCTTCAATCATAACCTTACATGATTCAACATGATTGGAACTCAACGTAGCCATAGCCCGACACAATACAATGATTTCTGCACAAAGATTCTCATTTTCCTTCTGTAATCCCTCAAGTTTTTGCGTAGTGTGGTACGAAAATCCAAGATTTCAGTGATATAATTATCAACACTCTGTCGATATACACAAATCTCCCCCTGAACTTTCTCAGCGTCAACTCTCAAATCAATGACTTGTCTAAATAAATCCACAAACATAGGGTCTCCTAAAATATCCTCAGTAAACCTCACAAAGGATACAATTTTTCTTGCTACTTCCCACAGTTCTGCGTTCTTCACCATCGTTCAACCGTGCTCTGATACCAATTGAAAGAGGGTCTATTTATTTTTACCAAACATCACTCTAGGCAGTCTTACAAACGTCTAGAACATTCAGCCTACTTTACACCCACGAAATTGACTAAGTATAGAAATACTTTAAAAGAAAAGTTAAACAACAAGAAGACTTTACAGGAACCTGCTCCAACCGTTATTAATCAGTAATTAATACAAAGGAAGGCTTCACGAATTAGTCTAAGGCTAAAAACACTCTGTCTCAGCCTTAGATGAATTTCTCCCCTAAATAAAAATTCTGCTCAATGGCAGTTACGTGCGACGGTTACAGTTGACACCTGTCCGACACTTGTCATCACAGGGTTCAAAATTAACTTTCCAACAGCTATATTTCCAACCGATAGAATATAATTAAAATTACAATCTTATCTACATGAAATACTAATATTCTAACACTTAGAATATTTTAGGCTTCATTCCAACATTTAGAATATTTGTTCCAGCATCAACACTTAGAATATTTTAGTTGTCCTCCAACACTTAGTTTTATTTCAGCAGTTCGGGTGAATTGCCTTTGTTGTTAAGTCTTCACAGCCTTGCCATATCAAGTAAACATTCTGACTTGCCAATGCCCTTAACTTGCACGTAAGTCATGCACGTTCAACCTGCCTTGCCAACACCGAAGCACCTCGAACTTGTGTTGCTCTTTTTTGCCATCATCCATGTCAAGACCAATGCCCAAGTCCTTGACATCTTTGCATATAGTTAGATGAAGTGGTTTGCGGGTCTAACACCTACCTAACTGGAGGAACATGATCTTTTTTATTTAAGAGGCTTATCATTGCCTATATATGATCCCTTTTTAAAACTCTTAAGTGTAATAAATAATGTTTACATCAGTCTACTCAACATTGACAACTTAAATATAACATCGAGATGCACATGAAAAGTCATTCACTTATTTAGAATCTTTTTTGGCTACATCAAAACTAACATCTTCACCCTCATATTATCATTTTTTTTATAATGAGACTCGTCTCAAATTAAAACATAGTGTCTAGAAATAAACAAGGCTATCATTATAATGACTCACCTATTATATAAATTGCAATTGCTAGGTGAAATTAAGGGAAGACCTCATGAAATGTAGACAATATTTATATCTTAGTCTACCTAGTTATATATTTATATCACATTCCTTTTCACAACCTTTATACCATTTACCCATTCACTATACATCATTACCTAATTAGTTCTATTCATAAGGCTCTCCCTTCAAATGCATAAGTCTGGCTTAGATATATCACCTCATGACTACTTTGTCCTTCTATTAAACATTTGTACTTAATTTTCACTAACGCAATGCCACATCAGCATAAATTCAATTCGAGTTAAAGTATACTCTAACTAATCCTAAATAGTAACATTCGTTTAACTTCTATCATAAAATTATATAAATTATTATTCCAAAGTCTACACATAAAGGAAAAACTCCAGACTAATGAATTACTAGGTATGTTACCACTACTAGGCACTCTTCTCAATAACTATCTCAATTTATTAGGTTACTATACTTCTAACTTTGGACACTTCCACTATTACTTGTTCATAATTCGCAAATCACATTCTCTTACGGGCAAAAATGCTAACAAAGCACTCTTAAAAAACACTGGCCTTTTAAAGGGATTCACCTGAAGAAACGTTCACAGAAGAGAATTTGAGTTTATATCATTGTTTTTAGCTCGAACGCATGATTTATATGAATAAGAATGCATTTTTTTAAAATCACTACACTTATGCATATTGATAGGCTTCTGTAAACCTTGTTTAAGTCTCTTTGACTTTGTAAAGACATCATATGAGAATAACTCATCGATAATGAGTTTGGCCTATTATTCCTACCAAGTTGAGTATGAAGGGTAGTCTAATGATTTTAGAAATTCATGATTTTGAATAACATTCTTATGACATAGTTCAATTTCATAATCTGGAGTACGAAAGAATGAGAAACATCTCCTAAATGTACACAGTTCAAATTCATAATCTGGAGTACGAAAGAATGAGAAACATCTCCTAAATGTGTTCTAGCCTCTTTATAATAAGTTTAGTTCACAACATATCCATAAGCTAAACTATACTACAGTACACAACTTCATAGACAACCTAAGACAATTTGAACTCTTTAGTCTAATAACAAGTTTGTCATTCTCAGAGCCAATACCTAGGACATGGCCGACACTTAATCATTCCTTGTCCCAAGAAATCTCTTGGCATGATGATTACATAGAGGAAAACTATACATACATGTGGAAGCCTTATAAAGTAGACAATATCACTAGTGGGTTGGGATGTTACAAGATGGTACAAAAAATCTGCACGAAAGTTCAATTATGTTTAGTAAAATCTCGATAAGATAGGTTCAATCTAAGTGTTGAGTCTAGGCAAATCCCATACAGTGGGGCAAACATCAAAGAGGAAGCTGAGTCTATAGAGAGAGTGTATGTGACAACCCAGAATAATATTAGAATTCTCACATCAACAAAAAATCGAAGAGATGTTGGGTATATATGTAAATAATGAATACCAACTAGTGATGCATTTTTACTCGTATCAGAGTACGCCCAAAACGGAAAATATCACAAGCAGGTTGAGTCGTTACATTTGATCATTTAATTATTTGGTCAGCAGGTAATTAGGTGTAATTAGCATGGAGTAACTACACTCTCCAATTTAAAATTAAAATACATTGAATTACAAAATTTTTAAAAGGAAAAAATAAATATCTATTTTTGGATTTTCGATTTAGAAATTAAAATATTTTAAATAATGAAATATTTTAAAGGAAAAAGAAGAATTTGAATGAAAATAATGAGTATGAAAAATTTCACAAAATTAGGATTGTTTTATTTATTAAATTTAATTATTCCTTTCAGTTACTGTTTGGAATTTATTTGTGTTTTTGCTAAAAATATCCCACTTATTTTGGTTAACTCAAAAATGCCCCTGACTTTAGGTTATGCCACCAAGCATGCCATGTGAATTTTTCTTTTGTCATGTGACTAATCAACATAAATATCCACCATAAAAACCAAATAAAAAATCCACCCTAACCCTTACTCTAATTTACAAGTAAATATAAGACCTACTCTGAGTGTTCCGTTGGATCAAAGAGGCGCTGGATGATGATGATCCTAGTTACTTGCGTCTGTATCAAAATAAGATACAGACCAGCTTACCTCAGTACATCGAATACACGAGTATGCGAGTTGAGATGTTAAAAAAACTTAAGCTTGAAATTTTTTTAGAAGGAACACTTATCGTGGCTCTGCTCAACTCAAGAATAACTTCACTCAATACTACTTCAAAAAATACTTACCTCATATAGTTTTAAAACAATTTCTTCTCTTGTTTGAGATAATTACTTAAACTTAACTTTAAAAGATCTCTGGGAAATCATAGTTTCCTCTTTACTAAAACTACCCAAATGCTCTGTTGGAAATCCCGTCTTCCTTTCTTTCTCGAAATGTGAAAAGATTTGTAACCTTTAGAGAATACTTAGTTCACTAACAAATTTTGAGAAATGAACTCAACACTTTACTCTCTGCTTAATTTCCAACTTGAGCTTCAAAAAAAGTAAAAAAGTTTGTTAAAAACTCGTGAAAACTTTGAGAAATAACTTCGAATAGATTCTTAACTTTTAGACTTGCCTTCTATGTTCTTTGACTTTGATTCTTAAATTTCCTTGAATTAGATTATGGATCAAGGTTCAAGATACTATGTTTATTGATAATTTTATGATATTTAGATGTACCTTAGAGTATTGGAATAAACTAAGAAGCATAGATACTTTACTTCAGAATTAGTACGAAAAGGTGGAGGATGAATCGGGAAACTAACGACCCTAGCGCTTTCAGAGGCGCGTGGCTACAACCCTCTAAGTTCAGAGAACTCTCTATGGCTCTCAGATTCGCACGATGCGTCATAGGCGAAAAAAGAGAAGAACTTTTGTGGCGCTCAAGTAGGCGATGCCCCAGCTAGAAAATTCAAACCTTGCACCTTAATTTTTCATGTCTACAACCTCTTAACTTCCATGTTTTTTTCCCTAAAACATAGTAAATTAGAACCCTCAATACCCAATAGATTTAACTCAAAAAACAACCCTAAATTATGAATCAAATGAACACTGGCCATTGAACAACTCAACAAACAAGAATTCAACAATGTTCTTCAAGAACTTCACATACTAACATGTAAACAACTTACCAACCACTGAACTGAAACAAATTTGATGTGTGGGTGGATGAGCCTAACACTAAATGATCTCAGATACCTTTATAGGAATCACCCCCGAGGAATTTTACTTGCATAGCTTTGGCGTTTTTTGCAAATTCTTAACTTTTGTCCCTTTCTTTCTTCTTTTCACTCTTGTTAATGTCTTAAACTCAACTAATTTAATTTTATTTACCCCAATAATTCCCTAAAAACAAATTACGAAATTATTTAGATAAAAAAAGATTGCTTATTCTTTGTTCTTTTAATTATTCATAAATGTTTTTATGTGTTTATAGAAGAAGCAAATTAGAGTGTTTAGTATTTGTTCTTGTTATAGGCATGTTATACACTCGATAGCCCTTCCTCCATAAAAATGTATAAGTTTTTTCAAATGAGGGGGAGGGGAGTTGATAATCTTATTTTAATATCTGTCTATCTTTAATTTTATTA